CATTCTTACCTCATGCTCCCACAACACAATGTTCATTCATTCATTTCACTTCAGTTATCCAAGAAGGAGCACAGGCACGTCCAACACTCTGAGAATAACCCTCAGAATGAGAAAACAGGATGAAGTATGCACACTTTCACATGTGTATATACAGTATATGTGTATATGTGTATATATGTGTATGTATATGTGTGTATGTGTATATATACAGTATATGGCAGTGGCGGGCCGTGCATTTTATACCTGGGCCTTCACTGTTGTCCTGCAGCTGAAATACCACCTTATAACCACATGATGGCGCCACAGTTATTATTAGTTTCTAATGCTGTAACTATGTACGTACCGTTCGGTACGAGACTTACAATACGTTTGAATAGTACTAGAGTATTTGGAAAATGCAGAAGCTTAAATTCAGGAAAACATAATATTTTCTGCGCTCATGTAGGACAGTGGTTCTCAGCTGGTCTGGCTGTGGGACCCACCATCATTCCTTAATGACAAGTCGCGACCCACAGAGATCGTCTTATGATTTTACTTTCACAACTCGAACGTTGAACGTACTGCTCTGCAAAGTCTTTCCTCGTCTCAGCCCCCTGTGTCATGGTGTGTGGTACATCTTACTCGGGTCAGAATGCCCATATTTGATTGGCTGAGCTGCATCACGTGATGTGATTCACTACCCGACCAAGCCTCTGCTGTTAAGTTTCGTTTCACGATAGTCACATGCTCGCCCACTGACCAATCACAGCACACTCTGCACCTCGCGGCAGAGCTACACATGGACACTGAGCTGCAGTAATGCTGACGTCATTATAGGCCGGCTAGCAGGCACTCTTTGACACGTGAAAGAATACGCCCAATATGTCAAACTAAAGACCTGATTGGTTGAAGAATATGACAATCAACAATATTGTCCCCATTCACTTAAACTGCACATGGATTCACTTCAGAGTCTGCAGGCCTCTGGCTCTGTTCTTACCTAGAGACACAGAGGTGAAATCTGATTGGATAAAAGCTCTACCTAAAACAAGCTGCACTGGAAGCAGAGCAAGTGAGGAAGACAGTAGCTGTGCAATGAGAAAATAAGATAATGGGAAAAATATTTTTATAAATTATAATACATGTAGTGTATTTAAGAAAAATTATTAAATTATAAAAAAGACATAGCTTTGTGATTCTGTTTAGGCCAGCAGAGAATGCCTTGCAAGCCCTGACGGCCCGCCACTGGTATATGGGTATATATGTGTGTATGTGTATATGTGTATGTATACAGTAGATGGGTATATATATATGTGTATGTATGTCTACATACACATATATATACATTTACTGTATATATATACATATGTATGTATCAGAATCAGCTTTATGTATGTCTAAATATGTGTATATGTGTATATATGCATATATGTATATATATACATATATGCGTGTATATGTATATGAATATAATATATATTCCTATTTCCATTCAGTTTATTCAGTTGCATTTACCTTGTAATATATATTAGGCTTACTTGCAGGACCTTCTTTTAATATTTATACATATTTAATTAGTATTGTTGGTGGGGGCCGGGGACTCTATATTTTCTGCTCTTTGTTGTTGTGCGTTAGATACATTTTTGTATCTATTTCACCTATTTATTCATTATCTTGTAGCTTTTTATTTCAACCTTTTATCAATGTCTTTTAAAGTTGGCTCACTGTCCATCCATTACCATTACTGTATCAACCTTTCTGCTAGCTATGCACTCCCAATGGCACCACGAGGTGTTCAGGTGTTACAGCTGACGCATCACATGTAGATTTTTGACTAAACCGAATGGTGATTTCACCGCCACACCTATCCTTCTCTATGTGCCCTGAGTGAGACTTTAGTGCTGCGTGTGGAGTACGTGGAAGGCTTTAATTTGGAGCCAAGTGAGAGTTCCTTGATGATGGATCCCTGATGATGGGGAGCCGTGTCGGTGGAGGGAGTGAGTCATCCATCATCTGCCCGCTGCGTTAGGTTGCCGCCGGCGCTGGTGCAGAGCCGAGTCGAGCCCCGTATCTCACGTCGCCAAGGGAGCGCTGACGTCAGAGCTGTCACTGTTCCACTCTCTCATCAACACCCACTCACAGAGCTCCGGGTATTGTCAGGGTGAAATACAATAATAGCACTGAGTGCACTGTCTTCATTTAGCCCCCCCCCCCCCCCCCCTCCCCGTCTCTGTGTTGTGAGCCCTATTTTCTTATTTGTTTTTCTTCAACAGCTCCCCCCTCCCCTCAAATCTTCTCAGCAAATACTCAGAGAAAGTTCATTCCCCTCCAGCTCTGCCTCGGCATGTTACTCTGATCTTGGTGATTCAGGTGCAGTTTGATAAAAGATAACTCTACTGTGAGACTGACACGTTGTTTGTGTTGTTGACCGGAGCATCACAGCTCTAATGTGCCGCGTACATGACATGGACAGCCCCCATGAGTGAGTCAGAGTGTCAGCCAAACATCCGGATAAATGACCGCCCACACGCTAATGCAGAAAAATGACACGGATGTGCTCTTAAGCAACTTTTCTTTTTTTCCTTCATCTTGTTCATGGAATTGATAATACATGTGCAGCTGCTGACTTCTAGTGAAGGAAGTGAGTCATCATAGGACGAATTACAAAGGTTACATAACTAGTGTGCCAGATCAGCATATCTTTCCCCTCCCTATGAACGGACTTCCAGGTATCGGATTAGCAGTCCCAAACATGATTATGAACAAACCATCAACATATTTGGGTAAAGTGGGGTTGTGTTTCCATTTTGGGTTAAAGCATCTGGTGTTTACTGTCCTCTTATTAATATGTTGTTTATAATATCCACCCACAGACATACATACCGAGACACGTTTAATGACCAGATTCATATCTGAAGACACGCTGCGGTCTCCTGGTTGTTGAGGCTATACTGACCTCTTGTGGTAAATTAATACTCCATCACAGGCAAATACTCTGCATTCAAAGGTATACAAAATTATTATCGTCAAAATATACTTGTCAAAATTAAAAGTACTTGTTCAGCAGAAAATGTCCCTTGTAAGTGACATGTTATTATTATTATATATGACATTATTAGATTGTTAGTACTGATGCATCAATATGTAATATCATTGTACTGATGTAGCTGCTCAGTGAAGCTAGTTTTAATTACTTTATACAGTTACACAGTAGTATAAAGGGTCACAAGATACATTGGTTTATTGTGGGGTAACGGAGTTGGAAAGTTGGAAAAGAATCAAGTTTTTGATGGACAAAACTTTTTTGTGAATTAGTGGAGAAGTGTATCTCTTTGGGCTTTAGACAGTTATGTTACCTTTTTGTAAGAGATCACAAGACAAAAAGCTTCTGTTTAATCTTTAAAATGCATCGTGTTTTAAAAGCTTATGTATTTCCTTTCTGGTAAATCTAAAGATTTTTATACATATATAGAAGAAGTGTAAAGTTCATTCGTCCATCCATTATCTAGTTTTGCTTATCCGGTGCAGGTTGTACAGCAGCAAACATTGGAAATACCCTCGTACTCTAGTACCTCAAAATAGTATTGTTGCTCATAGAAAGCCTCACTGTGCTGCCCACCTAAACATGTCTTATCAATAGGAGGGATGAATACAACAGAACACACTGGGAGATGTCCAGTATGTCCCACTCTGCACTATGCTGCTCTAATGGTCCTGGCAGCTGAAACCTTACAGGCCATGGCCGTGCGGCCGGCTGCCCGTGGGTTGATGGCCAAAGACCACTGGGATATCCGAGCCAGGAAGTGCGGAGTGAAAGTCCTTCCTCCCTTGCCAGAGTCCCTCTGCCTGACAGATGGTACTTAAGCTGTACGCGTCTCTCTGTTGAGATTAGAAACCAAGCCCTCTCTAGTAAATATGATCCCCGGTCAGCGAGGTAAAGTTGTCCTGAACTTTTTCTGATGGCACCATCTTCCATGGATCTTCTTTATTCATTCAGGCACGACATGAATTATTTACTTGAATTTCCAATCAGCTCAGTGATTAGACAAAATTCTAGAGGGCACCAAAATAATGATTGTATTATTCATGTTGCATGGGGAAAATGTACCGCAGTGTTGAAACATTGCCGAAGATGCCGCCTATTCAGTTTCCCATAATTTCCCCTACGCTTCCCATAATGCAACCGGACAGTGTCTTATTCAAGACACTCCCTGCCCAACAAACACCCATATCTTTGAAACACCTCCAGTTCAAACACAGGCTTTCTGTTATATGTTTGTCAACTCCAAGCCCATGCCCAAATAACCCTGATGACATCATCAGGGTAGTTTCCTGAGGCCTTAGAAAGCTCCCTTCACAGCCACAGAGGACGTTATACAACTGTTTTTAGCAGCAGAGTAGAACTCTGTGACGAGTAAGCTGAAATATAAAATCAGCAGAATGCCCCTTTAATATCTCAAACGTGAATTCTGAAAGTATATAGAGTTAGTTTTCTATTTCTAATCATTGTGAGCATGTTACACAAATCATTAAAGTGCGTTGATGTATGGAAATAAACAACAAACCAATGGGTGAAAATGTGGAATCCACTTTTTACTCCAGTTTGTTTTCTTAATTTATTCGAATCTCAAAGCAAAAGATCAAAGGGAAACAGAAAATGACATCATCATTACAACATTGTATGCCAATTTGTCAAACAGTTTAGAGAAATTTGGCGCCTCATTAAAATCCATAATCGGTATGATTACAGTCAAAGGACTGGTGTTGTCTACTAAACATAAGGATGGAGAGAATGACTGAAGTGATACTTTTACTTTATTTATGTGGCGAATAAAACTAGACTTTAAAAATATCAAAATGGATATTTGACACGGCTACAAAGCAGAGAGACAAAAAGCATTTAAGCCGGAGCTAACTTCAAGATTTTGGTTATACTGATTTAATCTTGGGCTTGAGCAGCTCTAACATTGCATGTCGTTGTTATTCTATTTGTAGCGTTGAAAACATCCCAACGGCCAACATCAGTTCTTTTCTTTTGACGTCTTGCCGTTGATCAGGCCGGACTCCCAGCGCTGCCACAGAGGAGCCCTCTGACCTCCTGCTTGGTGAACTTTTGGCTCCTGCTGTGAGATAAGACAAGCCAGATTTAGAGAAGGAGATCAGCTCCCTTGTCTTGATCCGCTGAATTGGAGAACAATTGCAGAAGCACTCTTACTAATCCAAGCATATGTAAAACAAATAGCGTGTGGGAACACCTACAATCTAATGTCTTTTTAACCCAGGATCCAGAAGGCCTCACTTACGGTAACATATCTGAAATCAAATTCAACCTGAATTTTTCCCCTGATATAAACCATCAGTGCTTTCTTAGGGACTTCAAAATGATACATAACAATCTGTGAGATGCCAAGAACAAAAACTTCTTCCTGTAGTGTTCCCTGAATTGGTGACAACACAATGGCTCACTTTGTTCTCGCCAGCGTTGTACACTAAATACGTGGAAACAGATTGTACGTACAGAACAATGGAGAAAACAAGAAGTAAGCCATTTACAGTGATTGGACCTGGCACATCACCTGTGTCTGCTCTGATTTCATCTGGTCTTTCTTGGAGGGCGGCGGCCAAACCCGTTCCAGTTTCCCCCTGGACTGTTTCCTGACATCTTAAGGACAGAAAAAAAGGATCAAGATGTTATAAAGGGATTTGACTTTCAGGCTTCAATTCTACATTAAACCAATCAGGATTTCACAAATTGAATCACACTAATCCTTGTTAGTCTGCCGTAACGTAAACAGCAAACGGTAGCTGCTAACTAGCTTACTACCTCTAGTAGTAACCTGTGTGTTAGCTTCCTAACCCAAAACATTTACATCAGTTGAAAGGAACCAGCTGGTGCTTTCAATCAGTTCAATAGTACAAGTCACAAAGGGTGCCTTTCATACTTCACTATTTTGTGGGGTAACATGTTGATTGTAAGTAAAGTTTACGACAAGCACATCCACTGTGTAGACTTTCTCAACTGTATGGATGCCGGTCCTGGGGTTCTACTTTATCAGAATTTAGGCTAACATTAGCAACTCTGTCCTGCACTAGTGGATCTGGGGAAAGTTTACACTCCAGCAACCCAAGCCAAACTCAGATCTTAGTTGGCGCGGCTACCAAAGCTGATCGCGGCCATTCGTAAAGTACTTACATAGTTCTGTGGTGAAACCTATATTTTATATGCATCAGCTTTTTCGGTTCATGCCTAGAACGTAGCTAGTTTTTCCCCGTTATTATATTTGTTGTGAAACAGTTTGGACGTGTATTCCCGGGAATCCTGTTTCCCCGGGATTGAACCCTAGTTCGCATGGTTTTCACACAATACATTACCAACTCCAGAGTTCACATGACAGCAGTCCACGACCACCCCTTCGGCGCAGGCCAGAAAGCGGTTGTTTGGTCCCAACCAGAGTTCAAATCCAGCATTTAAACCAACCTAAACAAACCGCACCAAGGGGGTAAACCCCCCAGGGTTCAGACTAAACAACGCACCCTCAAGTCTTTTAGCATCATGTATGCCTGTTCTCATTTTGAATCTAGTCAGCCGGAAACAATAAAAGTCAACTTGAGACAACATTGTCAAATCGACTCATTAAGCTAACATTAGCATAATTCCTTTCCTAGCCACAGCTGATAAACTTAGCTAGCAACAGTTGTCTTTTCAGCCAAGAAAATCGGCGGTTACCTGTCTTTGTCAACTGCTCTCTAAAACCAAGGAACTACAGTTTCGCAAATGAAAAATAGCAACATTTGTCTGGCAAATGTTCCTATTGCATTCTGGCAAAACAGGCATAGCAACAGCCTCAGTTAGGTTATTCTAGGTGCGTACATTTAACATGCTTAAAATGGGTGCTGCTTTGAAATGAAGGCTTTGATGTGATGTAACGTCATTATTCACTGTATATTTGACTCAATGAAGGTTATATTTTCAGTGTAGTGTCAAAGCTGTGCTGAAATGCCCTCAGTGAAGACATCCCAGTGTATTTGGGTTGTACATCCTCATACAGCATTGTGTGTCATGGATGGTTAGGATAACACACCACAGCTCATTTGACCTTAAGAATGAGTCATTTCCGTAAGTTTAGCCCAGTTTTACCCCCCCAGACATATTGTGTTGCTGTCACATGCAAGCCTCATCATCCTCACCTCAAGTCAACCCCACACATCATTATCCATCCGCCGTGGCTGAAAGTACTAGCTCGGTGCTGTATAATGGGACACTCTCTGGCCGGCTGCCTCCAAGCTCTCCTGCCATGCATATAGGCCATAACAACAGAAAAATGCACACAAGCTGTGCATACTATCAACAAGACCTATCAACTGTCTGAAGTCATTTGTATTTACACAACACTATAACCAAACTAGAACTGCCCCTGGCTCAAGCTTGGGTGCAGACAGGAGCCTCCATGTTGCCACTGAGCCCGCTGGCATCTGCTGACTCCGATCCGGCAGCCGCTGGAGTGATTCGCCCTTAACCGCTCAAGACAGGGCCGACACTAAGTTGTCGATAAGACTCCTCTGATAACACTGGGTGATGCTAATGTGGGGAGGCATTCATTAAAGTGCTCAGACTGAGTGTCAGAAGGCCGCGATGTGCAATGAATAAAGATCTAAATGACTCTTATTAGACATCCAAGTGTTTACATGATGCATCTGAACAGCCTGATGGAAATAATCCAATCCATCAGTATTTTCTACTCATGTTTTCATAGTATTGTCAGTATTTATAATCCAAATGATCAGATTGGGTTTCACTGAAATATTGTTAATTTTGAAACCGTTCAAATATTGTACAATTTAACCTCCATGGTGCATGCAAGAATACACGTGGTCATCAGTGGTGGAACAAGTCCTCTGTTCTTCTACTGAAGTAAAAGTATTAATTCAACAATGTAAAAATACTCCATTGCAAGTAAAAGTCATGCATCCATAAGATACTTAAGTAAAAGTACAGAGTTATCAAAAGGAACAGCAGTACTTATTTTTGATACATAAGTATCAAAAGTACAAGTACTTGTTTTTGAGAATAATGAGCCCCTTGAGTGGTATACTATATATAGTGCATTAGATATATTATATACTACTGGTGCTAATTTGAGCTGTGTATTCCACCACTGATGTCGAACGTATGGCACAGACCGTGCAGACTCACCTGGCATCGGTTTGAACCGTGACCTCTCTCCGTCTTCACCACTCCGCCTGCTCTCTCCGTACAGAGTGCATATCTGTCTGCGCAGCTCCTCCTCTTGTTTCTTGGCCTCCCGGATGTCCTTCTCCACTTCTGGCTTCAGAGCGAGGGCCGGACGCAACTTGAAGAAGGGGTTTCCTCTGAGGATGGGAGATTCTTGAGCCCCGTTTCCCTTCCCGATTTCGCTCCTAGTATCCACAGCCGACGTAGAGACGTCTGTGTTTATGGAGTCCATGCTTCTGCACAGGGGTGCGTGTTTGTCTGGTTTTGCGAAGGGAGACGAGCGCGTTTTGTCTCGAGAACCACAAGTTGGACTCATTGGTCTTAAGATTTCTGCGTGTTTCTCAGTCTCTTTATACAGCCTGAAGGAATGTGCTCTGGAAATGGGGCAACTTTTGAATGACAACATTTCCAGGCTACGCGTGCGCTCCAGCACAGAGGGATAAACGTGACCTTTCATAGGGGGTTTCCGATGCCTTGTCAGACCCTCCGTGTTATCCTGCTGGAAAGTCTCAAACAGCAGTTTTGTCTCCCTTAACTGGCGGACTTCTCCTTTGCTGTAACCCCCTGGGATCTTCCCCTGGTTGACCAGCACCAGCTCTCTCTGCATCTCCTGACTTATCTCCTTCTTCATCCTCTGCTCGGAGAACTGCCAGTCGCTGCGCTGCTCTGGGCCATCCTTGGTGAGAAAGGGCTCAAGCAAAATATTGTTCTTAAAGGGGATCTCTAGCACATCCGGATTATCTGGGAGGTTGAAGACACCACCGGCTCTCTGCAGGTTCTGCTTCTCCTGGGCTTCCTGGAGGGTCTGCATCTCAATGCAGGTCTCAACGACCGAGCGTCGGTGGCAGGAGGACAGAAAGGGAATTTGGGAGGAAGATGTCTCTTTGGGGTCTATTTGAGACAAGTCTGCAGGTACCCAGCTGTCACTTTGATCATCATCAGAGTCTCCAGCCTCTGCTCTGGCAATCTTGTGATGCTCTGACTCTACAGGCGTCGTTGACGAAGACATCCCTGCCTTTGCTTCGACGTCTTTTCTCTCATTCTCATTTTCCATCGCCCTCAGGTTCGTCCTCACTCCCTCGCTCTCGATGGAGTGAAATCTACTCTCTTCCTTCTCATCTCCACCTGTCAGGTGGGCTTCTCTTGATTTCAAATCATATATTTCAGTCCCAAGCACGCGCTTTGTCTCGCTTCTTGTCTCCTGGCCAACCAGCCAGGAGGCGTGAGGGCTCTCTGGTGTAGATGCATCCTGACGGAGCTGCAGTAGTTGCAGACGTTGAAGCAGTTGCTCCCCTTGTTGGATACCGGTAGATATTCTGCTGTTCCCATCTCCCTGCTTGTCCTTTGTCGCCATCTCTTCGGAGCCTTCAGAGATGGAGAGTCGGGATACTGACGTGGCGCCACTCTCTCTCCTCATCCAGTTATACTTTGTGAGGGTATAGTTCAAAGATCCCGTGTCAACATGCTCTTCATCACCATTGGACTCCTCTGCTGGGACGTCCTGTACCTGTGGCTGACAGGTTGCTGAGTCCATCATGTTTTGGTCGCATTTGAAGAGCTCCGGTGGCCCGTAGGACTCAAAATCATCACCACTCGCTCGGAGACCGGACTCTGTCGGGGCAATTGTCTCCACCTCACCGCAGTTAACATTTTCTGTGGTTAGTTTTGAGTCTGTCTCAGCAAGACCACAAACGTCCCCGGATTCTTTCTCTTTGTCAAAATGCCTCTCATTTTCAGAGTTCTCCTCGATGCTTGAAGGTACCTGTTTTGGGTATTTGTCCTTTCCCGCCTCAGTTTCCCTGCACTTTTCCTGCCCCTCACTCAAAATTACAATACCCTCAGGTTCTTCATCCGATTCTTTGTCTCCCGTTGTGTTTTCCTGAAGGCGTCTTCCGGTTGGATCATAACATGCTTCCTCCATGGGTATTTGGTCTTTAGGTAGAATGGAGTCTTCAGACAGAGATGCCTTAGAAGTCTGCTCTGTGCTTACTATCACTTCATCTGCCTTGTTCTGTGATGCCATTAACTGCCTCTCACCGTGATGCCAGTCTAAGCCCCTGGGATTATCATTAGCCTGTGCGGCTTCAGCTGCCCCTTTTGTAAGGGTCACGCTGGAATTATTCACCCGAGCACCTGTGCTGCCCTCTGCGGGCAGAAAAGGAGCCGTGTGGGGCGGAGGAGGTGGGACAAAGTCGTCGTCTGCGCCCTCATCGTCCATCACGCTGTAGTACCTCATGATCACGGCCGGGACTTTGGTCTCATCTTGGGGCTTCTCTCCACAGCTCACCAATGTGTGGTCTGTCACAGGGTTGGAGTCCATCTTCATCCACAGACCACACTCATCTCGGGACAGCAGACCTTGTGGCCTGGGTTTTTCTGTTTCCATGGTTACAAGCCTTTGAAGCACACACAAGCAGGGTGTTTGTCTCTTTGTCTTCCCCTTTAAGTTGAAACACACGAGTCCCTGAAGTTGATAATCAATTATTGGTAGCTCTATTATAACTGTAATTAAAAACTAAAGTGCGTTTACAAAACTTTACAGGAATTATAGATAAAGATTATTGTCTTGTCTATTTTCTCATCATATTTTTGTGTGACTGCTACAGCCTACAGGGCATGGCCACTGCAAGGGCTCCATGTGGAGCCTCTGTTGACTCCCGTTCATCCCGCTCTCCATGCGATGTTGTGTACAGGTTTGCTGTGTAGTAGTTTACTTAAACAGCAGTTTTTATAAACTCAAAAATGAAAAACTGAGGTTCTTGAAACTAGTTTTTCATACACACACTCTGCATGAAAGGGTTGTAACCAGGTTATAGATCAGGTCCTGTGGAGTTTTTGACCCCAAGTAGCTGTAGAGAGTAATGTTTTTATCAGTGGTCCATGTTTGTTTTGTTCTCATGGACGCTCATATTACTGCCAATAGTTTCACAGTATTCCACTGTACTACAGGTGGCAGTAACTTTTTAAGAAGCACTAAGGAAACGATGTAGGTTTCAAACTTTAACTTGAAGAATCTGCTTTGCAAATCCTAGAGGCCTAACAACGTTGTTTCGGCCTCTAGGATGCACACAATGCATGTGTGTTGTTTCGAGTAAGACGGAATGTAAACAAGAAATGTTATTTTACAGGAAATCTCCACAGGGCACCTTTAAGTCCATATTTAGTGTTAAATGTGCATTTCTTTAAACAAACCCTGGCATTCTGCAGCCCCAGGTTAAGGTGCTTTGCCCTGTTAATCCAGCTTTGCAACAACGCCTTCATGAGGATATGAAGTGTGCAAATCTTTCTCTTGGCTTTGATGTTTAACTATCCAGATTTCATAATTCTTCTGCCTGAAGTGATCACAACAATAATATGTAGAATCCATATTTAAAAATAGCTCCATTTCTTTCAGCCGGGCATACAGCTTCTGTGTTGTTTGGGTGACTTTTCTCCCCCACTGTGACCTAGCACAGCCAATTCTGCTGACAAAGGGAAAGAGTAATCGGCTTTGCTCAGTCTTGTTTTGGCACGCACACCATGCTCAGTGTCTGCCGGCCACAGAGGCTCTCATCATCTCACCAGTTCGCCCTGTTGAGAATCCTGCTTTCCCATGATGCCAATCGGGTTAATGCCGGTTATCCACGGGCCACGGTGACTTGTACCGTGTGTGATCCTCCTTAACCAAACCCACTTTGTGTATTCACACTGACGCATCGCAGAGAAATGCCACGCAGTGTCATCGAGTACTTTGTCAAAAATGTGTTCTCCTGAATATGAACATTATACCGGTATTATCTGGTTCCCTGAGCCGCAGGTTTAAATCTATGAATCTATATTTACAACCTGCATTCAGGGGCTTAATGCCAGCTACACTGCGTTTCAGGATTGCCTACAGCAGCAGCAGCACGCTGTGTATAGAGCCCAAGCAACAGGACATATTAATGCGACTTAATGAGCTTAACCTGTTTATGTTGTTATGAAGAACCCCATTAAAAACTATTCAAATACTCGCCTGCTTAAGCGACATTGTACAGGCAGTTACATGACTCCACTATCCAGTATTTTGGCATAAATGGCTCTAGTGCACACATGCAAATTGCATCATTCTCGCTAATATATAGTTATTATATTTTTAGTTGGGCGACTGTGGCTAAGTGGAGTGCAGGGCCGTCTTTCAATCAGAGGATCGGCGGTTCGATCCCCGGCTCCGCTAGTCGCATGTTGTGTCCTTGAGCAAGACACTTAACCCCAAAATATTGCTCCCGTAGCTGTGCCTACGGCATAGAAATGTGATAGACTTTGGATAAAAGCGTAATTGTTATATTCTCGCTCAATTTTGAACATTATGAAATGATCTTTAACCGTATTTGTTTTTCTAGCTATAACCAGATAAAGCTTAACTATTAATACCTAATCATATCATCACATAGTGTAGAAATGCTGAAGGAAGAGACCCACCTGACTGTAGCGCTGCCGTCACCTCCTGTGCGCGATAGTGCGAAGCCCGATGGAAATATGAAGGATCCAGCTGATCTGCTTACATGTAACACCTGTACCGTCCTGTCCTGTGCGTCATGTGAGCAAACGAAATCCGTCTTTGAGAAGCAGTTGAGATGACCCGCAGCAGCATGGGAGTGATTCACGTGCATCTATTCCACTGAATGTTAGTTTGTCTTTAGTGAAACATTGAATGTGAACCCCATATTCTTGTTTTGTGTTTCTTTTGTGTTTGCATACAAATGTTTGTGAAGTACAGTTCAAATCTAAAGTGGGATTTTAAAGAAATTGGAGAACATACGAATTCTGTTCAGTTTTATCGTCATATATTCCTTTAAACATCCACTCTAATCAATCAATCGAATAAAAAAATGACAGTGATACAAATAATGAGACACTTAGATAGCTGCACCGTAGCAGACATGAAGACGAGGTTTGAGACATGGAGATCCCAGTGTTACTCCACCTCCACAAGTTTGGGAAGTCTGTGAAATTTTCTTTTCTAAAATCTTTGATGGTAAATTTAAATTTTATCCTCCTATACTATCGCCTAAATGCAGTTTCAAAGCTTTTCCCACAATGCTGAGAACATAAATGCTTTGGCTAAATACCACACCCCCTTGTGTCAATGCATGTTTGAAGCCTAAAATAGTCCAATCCACAGTTGGACCTTCGCTCTCCTGCCATGAGGTATCTAATTTAACAGAAATGAAAGGACTCTGTCTGTATGCCTGTCCTTCAATTTTTCTCGGAAACCGTTGATTTGTTTGACTTCACACCTGACGGGTGTGTTGCTCAGGACCCGAGGCAGCGAAGGTGTCGAGAGTGAAGTTGTTTGGATGAGCGGTTCTCGAGAATCACCGGAGGTCAGTTGATCGGCCCCTTCTGAAGCTGCACTAGTTTCCCAAAATGTCGGACCATTAGTTTAAATATTTTGACTGAGTCGAAGAAACTCAACATGTTCATGTTTAATTGTAGAATACAAACTCCTCCCATGACATTAAAAACTCTCAGAAACATCGCTAGTGTCCTACGTGGAAGCTAAAGCCCTGAGTAGTAGTAGAAAGGATGTTGGTACAAATATCGCTCTAATTAACATTCATTTAGACACAATGAATCACACCGTGATTACTGTTAGAAATATTGATGATTCTTCTGCTCTTTGACTTTTTCCATTTCGTAGACTAAACAACAGCTAAACATATGGACATGTTTTGGCTGGTAAGGCACAGAACAAGTCCTAAGGGACAAAGACATTTGTCTTCATTCTCCACTTTGTCCACCAGAGGGAGGAAGTGGATTGTCCCTCAGAGCGGTTGTCAGCCCACAGCTGCTATAACAGACCCACAACATGATACACGTCTCTTTCTTTGGCAATGTGAACAGACGTGATGGGCGCTCAAAACCAGTTAGGACCACACCAGGTGGTGGTCTAGTCTCAAGTCATTTAGGCAGCAATGCAGCATGAGGTGTTACAAATATTACAAATGATACAAAGAAGGCGGTTCTCCTCAATCGCCGTCTTACATGACGGAGCAACACCGACAGGTCTTGGGTTTGGAAGTGGCTTTACTGGGTGAAGATGAGTTCTGCCACCCGTCATCACCGTTCTCTCCCTGGACTTCAACTCCTGCCCCGTTTCCGTCCAGGGGGATGTCGTGAAACACTTGGGACTCTTTCTCTTCCTGAGGTGAAGCAGACGTTTCCGGTCCTAAGACGTGTTCTTCTCCCTCCTCGGTGATGATCACGCGCTGGGCGGTGAGCATGCCTTCATGGTCCTCCTCTTGGCCGCCTCCTTGGTCGCCATCCCTGTATCCCAGGAACACCAGAGTGACCGGGCCTTCCTCCAACCTCAGATCCTCCACGTTGCCCACTTCTCCTGCGATGTCTCTGACCACCATGATGCTCCCGTCCTCTTTGTCATCCTCCTCCTGTCCCATAGCAGAGCACTCCTCTATCCCCAGCTCAGCTTCCAAGTCGTCGCTTCTAGAGACGTCTAACTGCGGATCGTCGCCCTTTGACACGACACGACGGGTAGAAAAAGACACGACTTGTCCCTTCGGCGCTCTGCTGGCATCGACTCTCTTCATCTCCGTCTCTTCCTGGTTCGGCGTGAACACGACCTCGTCCAGCAGCACTTTCATCCCGACGCCGTCAACGAAGCTCAGGATCTGCCCGAGCTCTTCGGTCGAGGGTTGACTTGCCGATCCGCCGACGGCGTGGATGCTCTTCCTGCCGTCGTCAAAGACCGTGGTTGCCATCGGCACCCCGGCCGATGAGGACACGGGGGCCACCGACCTCACGACGGTGGCCCCCGTCTTGGGGTCTCTCTCGACCTGCACCGCCAACATTCCCAGGACTACGGAACAGAATACAAATTATCAAGATAAAATATAGAAATTCTCAACTCATTAGCAGTCCAGGACAAACTGTCCTCAATGCATCACAGACTTGGGGACGTTTAAAGGGTGAGAGGTACATTGCTCTCAGGCCTTTTTTTTGTTTGTTTGTATGTATATATATATACATACATACATACATACATACACACATATATATATATATACATACATATACATACACACATATATATATA